TTTTTTTTTTTTTTTAGTCAAATAACTTCCCATATCTATCAAGTCAACCCAAATTATCGACCATGTTACCCAACTAACCCAAAAGTTTGACTTTGACTACTACATGCTGAGAAAAAAATGGAAGGAGTCTTTCACGTACGTTTCCAGCTTAATTAACCGTTGCTGCCCACTTCCCACTCACCCCACTCCCTTTCTTCTTACAAACCTAATATAAATACACTCATCAACCTATTACAAACCTCATTCATATTCACACATACATATGTTAAGAATGGCTTCAGCCGCAGCTACCTCAAGATCCTTCAGCTATTTACTTTTAGCCACTGTAATTGCCGCCATGTCAGCTGCCTTGGTGGCGGGCTTCCAATTTCAGGTCGGCGGCAAAGGGCGAGGATGGAAAATACCAACCGGAGACGAGCCCGAGACCTATAACGAGTGGGCCGCCATGAACAGGTTCCGCATTGGCGATACTCTTTGTAAGTTTGCCAAAACTAATGACTTGCGATTATATTTCTGCATTTTTTATTTTATTCATACTTTTTGCCTTTTTTTGATAGACTTTGAGTACGAAAAGGACTCGGTGCTGGTGGTGAACGACGCCGATTACCTGAGCTGCAACACGTCGAATCCCATCTCTGAATTCGAAGACGGAAGCACGGTTTTCCGGTTCGAGCAGTCGGGCCCGTTTTATTTCATCAGCGGGCTGCCAGGTCACTGCAAATTGGGCCAAAGGCTCATTATCCGAGTCATGCACCGTTCGGAGGTCTCGGCTCCGACCATTGCACCCTCTCCGGCGCCAGCTGTCGGAGGTTCGAGAGGCGGCGGCTTTGGGGACGGGCGGGAAACGGGCGTGAGTTCGGCTGGGAAAATCGCGGTTGTCTCATGCCTTGTGATTACCCTTTTAGGTCTTTTTGTTGGGGCCTACATTTTCGTGTAAGGGTTCATTGTTGGTCATTGTTTAGCAAGGTTTCTAATTCCTTTGGACTATGGTTGAGTCGTTTTTTAGNCACTGCTTGGTGATTATTGCTCTTGATTTCCCCTAGCTATTGGATTTTTAATTGATTTGATATTTTGTATGCATGTTTTTGTTCTCATCTCTCTGTTGTGAATTTATATAGTTGTTAGGACTTGTTTAATTTCATTATTTTGCAAATTATTTGTATTTGTAACGATTATCTTATTGCGTCACATTAGTGAAATAAAATAATATTCTAAATTGAATTTCTGAAAGGTAGTCGTTATGCTTTGCATGCAGTTAGAAAAATATGTACATTTTAGTTTTCAAGTATGGTGGCCGAACTTCAATATTTTAGAAATGTGAAGGGGATTATAAATACTTTTCACAATTTTGAAAGTTGGCTGATTTTTATATTTCTGGTAATCACGCCAATCTTGAAAGGTACTTTCGGGATGCCACATCGAAAACAGAATAACAATAATTAGTGGATGTCATTTCTAGATATTTCAAATGTTGTGAAGCTATATAATGTATACTTGTATTAAGGTTTTGTAACTTGAGATTTCTAAAAAAAAATCAATGAAACAGTGACTTGGTTCTATAGCAATGTTTTTGTGTTTATATAAACTTTTTTTGGTTTTCTTTCAATGTCTTAGAGCCTCGGGTTAACCCCTTTTTCGAGCTCCTTACTTCTTTTCCTTCAAAGTACCTCACATCATGAGCACATCCTCAGAGATCTTATCAATCCCTCACCAAATTCTTCAACTTTTGAGGCTTGAGCCAACTCATCACAATCAAGCTCAATGAAGGAAATTACCTCATTTGGAAACACCAAATTCTTGCTGTTGTGAAAGGGTATAGACTAGCAGGTTATCTCACCGGTGAAGAAAAAGGGCCTAGCAATCCATGCACCCAAGATGGAAGCTTGAATCCATAACATGTCAGTTGGACACACTACTACAAGAAATATGAGTTTTATCAACGGAATAATCTGTTGGTAATCAAATTTTCCAACGGAATGTCAGCGGATTACCAACGAATTTTCTTGTTGCTATATGACTTGTTGCTAATTTTTGCCAACTGAAAAATACAATTCATTGAAAAAATTCCCAACGGATTGCCAACAAAATTTACAACAGAAATGCTTCATGATATTGTCAAGAGATTCTCAACAGAAAATGTAGTTGCGAAATAATTCAATTGGCAAATTACTAACAGAAAGCCAACATATTGGTTACGGATATACCAACGTATATTCTCGCAACAGATTACGAAAAGATTGTTTACCAACGGATTGCCAATGGATATCTTCTCAACATATTACCAACAAAATTTTTTCTAACGAACTACCAACGGAATTTTTCCCAACGGAATAACATAATTTTTCCAACGAATTTGTTCCCAACAGATTACCACCGGATTATTTATGAACATATTACTGATTGATTTTTAGCAACGGATTACCAACAGAATTTTCCCAACAAATTACCAACAACATATTACCAACGGATTATTTTTCAACAAATTACTAACGAAATTTTAGCAACGGGTTACCAATGAAATTTTCCCAAATGGCCTAACGGATTTTTAGCAACAAATTACTGACGGAAGTTTTCCCACAGATTAGCAACATATTTTCTCCCAATGGATTTTTTAGCAAACAAAAATTGTTGATCCAACTTGAAGGCTACACCACATGACCCACCTTGAACCACATGACTCACCTTGAGCACAATACCACCCACCAATATATAATCCTTAATTACTAATTCTCCCAACAATAGGGCTTGAACACAAGATCTCTCGCATGTTAAAGTCAGTTACACCACCACTAGGCTACTGTTTATTGTGTTTTTGTGCTTATTTTTGTTTGTTTTAAGTGTTTTAGTTAAGTGTTTTTAGGTTCATTATAGTGTCGACCAGTCCATTTTATCGTGTTTCGGGTATATTTGTTCTCAGTTTGTGTTTTTGTGTTTTGCCGTATTTTCTTCCGTATTTTGGTGTTGATTAGGTCTACATTGTTCGAGTTTAGGAAGACGAGCCATTTTTGGGACGTTTCTGAGACGTCCGAACCATGTTCGAGTCATCACCCGAGCCATACGAACCGCCACTCGTGTGAAGGAGTCGAGACCCGACACTCGCTGGCGAACAAAGGGTCGCTAGCGCGCGAAACTAGGCGCGAGACCAGACGCCACTCGCAGTGAACTTCTACTCGCGGGTGCACGAAACCAGGCGCGAGACCACAAGCACTCGCTGCGAAACTCCAGACGCGAGCTCGTGACCAACGCAAGAGAAGATTCGCGCGCGTTCGTTGCGAACCCACATTTGCGACCGCGCGAGAGGCACCCGAAGACTCGCAGTGAGGCCCAACTCGCGACCACGTGAATGCCGCTCGAGGGAACCATCCATGAAGCTGCTGCACCCAATGCGAAGCAGCATTCGCGAGCGCGCGAACATCCCCGAGGTGACATTGGCACTCGCTGCGAACTCGCTTTCGAGACCACGCGAACTTGTCCTGTCGGCACTCGCAGCGAGCTCGAGTTCACAACCCAGCGAACGCGACCCTGGCAGCCCCAGCACACTACACACTCGCTGCAAAATTGATTTTGCGACCCGGCGAACTGCAAAATTCATTAAATGTGTGTGTTTTAGTGTGTGTTTTAGTGCCCTAGTATAAATATGTTTCTTCCCATAATTGAGAGCTGGACTTCATTTTTCTATTTTTCCCTCTGGGGAAAGGTTCTCTCTTTTATTTTTCTCTCTATTTTGGTTGGAGCGCTATGACTCAAATTTTTCGATGATTTTATTTTTATGCAAGTTTCGAAGCTTTTCACTCTGGTTTCTTTGAGCACACAATAGAATAGTGGGTACTTACTTTTAAGCATCATTACTTCATATTTGTCCCCTTTTTGCTTATGATGGGTTTCAAGGTGATGCTTGTTGAATGGGGGAAAACTTGGAGCTTTCTATTTTCATTGCTTGCCTAGGTGGTTATATGGATTAAATACTTGCTTATCTAGTTTTAAAGGTTGAGACTTTGATTAAAGCTCAATGATTTTGTTTAGAAAGCTTGTGTTAATTACCTAGGAACTTGGTGCTTGCATATTTCTTTTCATTTTGTGTGTATTTTTCTCGAGTTACAGTGACTCCGGTAAACCGAAATTCCCGTCTTTTCTTTATAGCTTGCATCTTTAACTCAATGCTCTCGATTCTTAGTTTTAATTAGTACTAAATCAACCCCCAATCATCTTGATAGAATGTTTAGGACTTTATTTGCTCTTTTTGTGATCTTGGACGACTATCTAATAAGCGAAGCTCCGAACCGTCTTCCTAGAGAGACGACCCGAAGTTCGAATAACTCAGTTATCAATTATTCTCGCTCTAAACTACTAAACAACTATTTAAATGTATGAGACATGATTCTACAATTCTTATAGTTATCAACTATTATATTGCATATTACTTTATATATGAGAAAGTAATTATTAAATATATATATATACATTAGATTTTATATTTAAATTTATAAAAGTTTCTATATTATTTATGATCTAACTGTTCAATTATATTTGGTGTTTTCTTTAATATGTCTAATTATAAAAATAGTGACTATATATAAGTATCTATAAACTTATGACATTATTAAATGATTATCATTGTTAACTATTAAATGTGACTAATTCATTGTAAAATATGAAATTTTGTGACTAAAATCAAGTGTAGGCATATGTTGAACTTGTGACCTTGCAAGCTCAAACTCACGAGCGAGTGTGGTTATGCGAGACTCGCGACCCAGTGAGATAGATCCACTGACGAGTGGCTTGTGCTCTCAATGATCTGGGCGACGGACTCACGAGCAGCGAACTCAAATTCGCGGGCGAGTGCTTCTATCTCTCAACAATGGACTCGCAAGCAAGCAAACGTGAATTCGTAGGCGAGTGCCCTTGTTGCATTCTCGGCTTGCGTGTCTGCGAGAGGAAATCCCTGAGTGAGTTTGTCCGCTTGACGATGTCGTGCACTCATGTGCATTCAAGACGAGACTGGCGGGCGAGTTGGCAAGCTGCTCGGCGACCTGCTAGCGGGGTTGTTAACCAGCGTTCAGCTTGAGCTTGTTGGGCACTCGACTTACTGTTGGGTGCTTGACTTGAGCTTGTCAGGTGCTCGGTTCTTCACAGGGAACATTCAGGTGTTAACCATATCGTTTTCAGGTGTGAACATACCATCAATCCAACTGATAACCACCAAAACGGTCAGGTAGAAGGTCACACGTCCAGGTTTAGTGAACTTAGTGAAGGTCAAATCAGTTGGGTCAAAAACTCGAGTTCATATCCAACTCAATTTGGATTTCAATTTGGGCCACACTTTTGCAAATAAATTGAACCAAAAAGATTATAAGGGTCCAGACCGTCGAAGGTCATCTACAGTCCAATTGCCAAGGACCAAGGACCAGGACCGTGCCAGAGCCAAGCTGGTCGGCAGATGCGCGCGTGTGTGTGGCCGAAGCCATCACCAACACTTGGTGCAAAAATTTGTTGTTGTTTTGTCTTTCACTTCTTATTATTATAATAAAGAGAGTTAATCTCATTTAAGAGTCCAATGTGGGATAAGACTCTTGACCCTTCAAATCCCATAACCACCGTGTTACGCTTCTATTTATAACTAAACTTAGTCACTTATTTTTCACTCACTGAAAATCAGTTTTGAGAACATAAATATACCACGAGTATCTACTCGGAACGTAAAAATTTTCTACACAATTTAATTCAACCCAAATTAAATATTTATCCATAAAAAATAAAACAAAATTAGATCAAACCCAAGTTTTACTATAATTGATTTTCTAACACATATATATACATGTCCCAGCCTCAGGTTTTGAAAATGATCAACACAAAGGTCTTGTCTTCAAATTCAAAAAGTTCCTTTATGGTCGAAACCAAACCTCATGCACTTTTTGTTTCGGGAATGATAAATTCATTAAATAAACACAGACTTACAAACGGCTAAGTAGCCAACTGAAACCAGCTAAAACAGCTAACTATAGAGAGGCCTACATGACGAGAACGCCTATAGCCTAGAGAACACAAAAATTAAACAAAAACAACACAAAATAAAAGCTCTCACAAGTGGAGAATTAGGCTCCCAACAGGAGAATACAACACATAAACAAACACAAAATAGTGAAAACACAAGAACACAAGAAAAGTCCTAAAGCCTTTTCCAACATCCAGACGAAACCCCAAACCACCTCAACTCGAACCAGCACCCACACGAACAACTAAGGAGAGCGACCCAGTCGATGGACCAACACACAGATCTAAAAACTCCACCTCATGCTAACTAGAACCAGACCAACAGATCGAAATCCCTCCCATAGTTCTCCACAGAGACTACCCCGGGAGACCCGCGCCTCAACCCTCCCCACGCAAAAGCTGGAAATAGCAGCACCACGACACTGCTACCACCAAAAGGACCTACCCTCCCAACACCAACGAAAGACCGAAAAAGAGGAAGACCAAGGCCACAAGGCTCGGCGCCGGCAGTCGCTAGGCGGCAGACAGCCACCGTTGTCGCGACCTCGTCGACGGAAAGGTTGGGTCGACGCCCGCCTCCCCCTAAACTGTACTTGCAAGTTTCCCCGCAAAAAGCTCTCCACGCCTAGCCTACTCTTAGAAAGAACGCCCTTTTTCTTTAATTAGGTAGTTCCCCCGACCGTAAGACCCTTTATATGATGAGTAAGGGAAATCGAAGGCCGGTTTATTGGCAACAGGGTACCCATTTCTTTCTCACCCAGCCAGCCCTACCTACCCTATGTATTCGAGGGGAGGCTGGAATCGAAAAAGACCTGGTTTGGTTCCACTGCGCATTTTTCGAACAAAGAAGACGACTACAGGATCGAAGACGCTTTCCGTGGTGGACTGGTTGTCAACGGACCCCTCCCCCGCCATGGCGCCAGATTAAGCGACGAATACCACTTAGGGACGGGAACATCTGAAGCCCTTCTTGAAGAATACCACTTAGGGACGGGAACATCTGAAGCCCTCCTTGAAGCTCGCAGCTGCCCTTTGCCAGCTCAAATGCCGGGCACGATAGAGAGATACACGACGCCGAACGCTAGAGAGGCACAAAGAACAATTGCCAAACGAGGGTTTAGAGGGAGAAATGAATTGAGGAAAATTTTAGAGAGAGAAGAACGGGGATCAGGCCTCATGCACTTGGTCATCCAATTTTGCTTCATTCTACATGCTTGGTTTCACTGTATTTGAGACGACACTTGGTCATCTAATTTTTCAAAGAAAACTTTAGTGGCAAATGAATTAAATATCTCATAGTTTTATAAATCTTTTTAAAAATCTCAATTGAATAATTCATGACTTTATAAAACTTTTATAATCATAATCGAACATCTCATAATTTTTTCACAATTGAAATTAATAATATTAATTTGAATTAGAATTGTATAACATAATATTGTATAACTCATATTGTAGAACATAATATTGTATGAAAATTTGTGAAACAATATTTATTAATATGTTTATCTCATATTGTATAACATAATATTATATATCAATATTAATGTCAATTAGAATTGATATATAAGTTTGTTTTTCACAATTGAAATTAATAATAGTTTTATTATCTTCATACAATTGATAAACACATTTTATAGTAGATACAACTAACTGTTTTTAAATTATATATGTTATGTAAAATATATATATTAAATTTGAAAATTAATATATTTTTAATTTGAATTACCAAATGTTTTATTAATTTAAAATTCTCAAAATTTTAACAAAGAACAAGCAATTGACATTTGATCCCAGAAATCTTGATGCAGCAGAGAAAAGTCTAGATTAATAATATATATGGTAGATTTAGTTTAATATTACACGCATATTACAGCCTAAAGAATTTTGAACAGCTAATGCTTAAATTGATGATATATTTTACGAACTAAATCGTACTCAATACTATAATTTAATCTGAGCAATCACAACGTCGCTCGTGTACTTAAAAAATAAAAATCAAAATATATAATATAAAATAAAATTAAAAAAAAGGATTAAAAGCAAAAAACAGAAAAGAACGTTGTAAATTACACCGACATGTATATATTTATGGAAAATGCTACAATCCCGTGACGGAACCATTCCGTTGGGATTTATAACTGTTAAATCAACTATCAATGACGGTTACTTGATGATTTAACGGTTACAAATCTCAGCGGAATGGTTGCGTAACGAGATTGTAACCAAACCCTTTATTTATATGCATATGGCAGTGTTTTGAGACCCGGACTGGCCCGACGGATCGACCCGGGACCCGATCGACCCGGAGCCAGAACCGGTCCGGGTAGAGTATTTGGACCGGGCAACCAAGGACCCGGTCAAAACCCGGCCGACCCGGCAGAGACCCGGCCGACAGCATTGACCCGGCCGGGTTAACCCAGTTGACCCGGTCCATATATTTTTTTTTGTTTTTTTAAAAATAAAAATATGTATATATGTTTATATGGTAAATATTTATCATGAAATACATATTATTAACACTTTAATATACAAATTTTATACACAAAACATTTAATTTTGTTGCTTTTATGTATATTTATATAACAAAAATACTCTATATATAATTTTAAAAATTTTAAAATTAATTATCCGGTTCAGCAATTGACCCGGTGACCGACGGTTGAACCGGTGACCCGGTGACCCGGTGACGTGCCCGGGTTGATCACCGGGCCAGGTTTAAAAACTATGGCATATGGTCGTTTATATATATTATTATTAATTATTATATAAATTAATCTATATATATATAATAAGAATTACCGTTTAGTAAAAATAGTAGTAAAAAAATAGGTCAGAATTTAATGCAGCCTATAAATAGTAAGTTTTATTATTTTTTTTATTTTTTTCTTAAGAAATCATACAGCATTAAATGTTACCTTAAATTTTGGACTTTAGTTCATTTTATTATTTAAAAAATCTGACTAAGATTTATTAAGTGTGTATGTTTTTATTTTTATTATTTTTTTTTAGAAACAACATTAAAATCTCGGTCTCTATATTTATAAAATATCAATTCAAAACATAACAAAAATTTTAGAATCTCGGTCTTTATATTTGTGCCTTTAAAAAAATATTGAATGCTAAAAATATTCTTTAAATTGCATATAATCAATCAATTAATCTTAATTTATTGAAAATTATTATGTTTATTTTTTTATTAATATGCATAAAGTAAAAATAATTAATTCATCTTTAGATATATAATTTATAATCTTAATATATTATCATTTTGTGTAGACATTTATTATATGAATTATAAAATATTTTTATTTCATTAAATTAAATATATTTAAAGAAATAATTTAATGAAATAAGAAATTTTTTTCGGATCAATCGGGTGATTGAATTAGAGTACTGCCTAGGTTGATTGAATTACTTTTAGGTGATATTTAAAATAGTTAAAAAACTTGACACAACTTGGTTGGTCCCAAGTGACTAAGTTATGTATCAGTTCCACCATACAAAATCGATTATTGAACCTAATATAAATTTTATATTGAAAATATTTTATTTCGTGAATGTGATGTAGTCCAAACTTCAAATAATAGTATTAACAATACTTTTATGACAACATGTTTAATGATTTATGAATATTTATATATCGTTTTATTAATATTTATGTAAATTAAATAATATTTTATTATATTATTTATTAATGTAGAGTAAATATATGGTTTTCAGAAGTAGACTGTCATGGAAACGATCAAGCTATTTTATTAAATCATTTGAGGTGTGTTCAGATTTCAATTTATAAATATTTTAATATATATATATATATATATATTAATTTTTGTAATAAATTTAAATAAAATGTGTTACTTAAATATCTAAACAATTTATAAATTCAAATGTTTAAACTAATTGATTAATAATTTATAAATCACTATTTTATTTAAATATGTAATTTTATTTAAAATAATTTTAAATATAACAAAATTTATTTAAAAAATCGTATCGATCCAGCAGTCCAATCGACTGATGTTGACGGATTCGAGAGCAAATATTTTATTTAAGCGAACTAGATTGGTTATAAACTGGTTCTCGGTCCATCCGATCGGACTGTCACCAACCCGGTTTAATTTAAAAATAATAAATAAATTATAATTAATGTTATTTATATATTTAGTTTATAATACAATCCTAATATTGTTTTTCCGTGCATCGCACACGGGCCATGCACTAGTTATTATATATATTGACTCACAAATAGTTGAAAGTTGAAACATTAGACTCAACCCATTTCCCCTCTTTCTCTCTCTCTCTCTCTCTCCTGCTGCTTCAATCAGTTTTCCAGCTGAGGAACATCTCTTCTTCATTATTCATGTCGGTATGTAATCCAAATTTTATTTTATCTGTTCTTGTTTGTTATTCTTTTTGATTTAGTCGTTTGGAGCCCGATTGCATCATTTTCCCTCTTTTTTAACCTTTCTGATTAATTTTTTCTTTAAATTTTTGTCCGTATGGTTTGTTTATTCTCGTTTTATGGCAGTTCGATCGATCGCTTTGTTGTATTGATGGCGATGTNTAATTATTAGCTCAAGTATTGATAGGCAGTACAACATGTTTCCTTTGCATTGAGATCAAATATCTATGTGGATGTGGATGTGTATGTGTATGTGTATAGTGCAATGTCTAGGTGACTTGATTGCCTTTTCTCAACGCGTGATATTTGCATCAAAGAGTTTTACTTGATGTCTTTTGAAAAATTTGAGTTGGCTTTGTTATTATGGACTGGATGCCATTTATTTGCAAAATGACTGTGGGTGGTGAAGAGCTATGAACGAGTGGTTAAAGTAAATTTCCGATTTTGTGCTTCGCTGATAACATGGATGATGATATACTGTATAGAGATAACTATTCCATTGATTAATTTTATGGTTTTCTTTTTAATGGTTTCCAATTTGCCATGTGGATGGGCATTGTTCAGGAAATCTCCGGGAACAATCGATTGTTCTAATAGCATTGTTCATCTTTCATTGTATATTGGGTCAATCTAAAATGAAATTTGATTACCTATTGTTTTGTACTAAGTAGATCAAATGTAAGTGTCAGTGTACATGTTATTGCACAAAGATTGTCAGTTCTTTCTATGATTTCAATATTTATCGTAGGCCTGGTGAGGCTTGGATTTTATGCTTACAGATTTTTTCCATGGCAATGTACCAAAATTGCTCCCTTTTCTTCACGCTTTTGTGTAATAAGAGAATACATAATATTATTGCTCAAAGCTGAGCAACCTAATGTTACTCCATTTACCAGTCTGTGGACCACAATATTCTTGCTTATGTGACTCCAATTCCCAGAGTGTTCTCAAATTCTAAAGTTTTACCTGTCACCTTCTTAAGCCAACGGGTTTTGAAAATAAAATTCTTATTTAGGATACATCTTGTCTTATTTTGTTTGTCAATTAATAATATTATGTCCCAAACATACAAGTGGCTGTTGGTAAGTGATTTTCTTCTCAAATCCAAGCAAAAGCTAAGTCCAACCTTATCCGTTTTACATATATTTCAGTAAGAGTTTGCTCGACTTTTTATCTATGCCTTATGCAGGAGAAAGGTCGGCCATTGCCAAAGTTTGGTGAATGGGATGTGAATGATCCAGCTTCTGCAGATGGGTTTACTGTAATATTTAACAAGGCCAGGGATGAGAAGAAAACAGGCGGGAAGCCCGAGTCCCCCACAACGGTGGCTCCAAATACAAATCATGCAGCAGAACCTTTAAAACCTCAGGGTGTAAGTACTCGTAGCTATCTTTTATTGTAATAAATTGTAGTATTGTATGTTTGATTATGATTGTCAGAGAGATCTTACTGCATTTCAGAACACCTGTTACTGCATGATCTGTGATTATTTCTATAATCGTGTTTCTTCACTAAGCTGTTGCTTTAGGACATCATTTATCTGATCATCAACAAGGATTTTTGGTTTTATGAAGTCAGACAAATTTAGGAGTCTGCTATCAAACATTTCATATATGGGGGGTGATACCTTCCCATTTGCTATGAATAGGCAAATTTAGTTATTCTGGATTCAAAAATCAAAACATTAATTTTCCTTTTCTTTGATGTCAAATTTTCCAAAAAAAAAAAAAAAAANACCAAAAAAAAAAAAAAAAAAAATGATGGGGAATATGTGTTTCTACAGTTTATGTAGTACTTGAATATTGAATAGATTCTTCCTTCCTAGCCCCGAAAGCTGGTTTTAGAGATCAGATTGAAGCTGACATCTTGTGCTTATCTGCAGAAAAAATGGTTTTGCTGCATGTAGAGCCCAATCGCGCAATCTTGACCAGGTTTATGTGTGAAAGATCAATATATACTGCATATTTACAAAACAATCCAGAAAATGTTTCAATGAAGCTGCTGCAGGTGGTATGAGGCACTTAAAGTAGCCCATTTTGTGTGCTGTAAAGTTGTGTTGATTCTGGAAAGATAATATTAGAAAACATGAATTGTCATTTACATTTGTTGTTTTATGGTCAAGGTGAAGCCGGGTTACATCCATCTCTTTATTGTGCGTGCGATCTGTAAAGCTTATGCTTATGTTTCTCTTGCTATTTGCTAAGCTTATGCTTATGTTTCTCTTGCTATTTGGTAATCGCCGTTTTGTTTTTCCTAAAGCATTTTACTATCCTTTATTCTCAAATTAGTGTGCATCTTGTGCGATGCACGGATGGGCTTGTTACTTAAAACATTTTTAAAAACATTATTTTGAATATAATTATTCATATTTAACACTCATTTTTGCAAGAAAATAAATACAAAATATGAAAAATTATATATTATTTATTTGAATAGAACGAATCTTCACAACCAAACCAATAACATAATTATGATAAATTTAATTATATGCATTTTCATGTTTTTTAAAAACATATATATATTTAATAAATATGAGATATTTAATATTCATAATATTAAAAATTGTGACTCGGATATGAGATGAAAAATGACAAACATATTTTGAAAAGTGTAAAGTCGTATTATTTCCACGTTGAATTCGACATTATTAATAGATTTAATTTTATTTGGAGGAATGATATAATACGTAATTATTATATACTAAATTAAATGAAGAATCCACATATATGAAATTCTTGTAAGATATATATGGCTGTAAGTTACATAAATATGAAAATGAATCAATTTGTATAAAAGTGTACGAAAAAGTTAGTACTCAATGTTCTGATTAATAATATTAATAAATTTAAAATATGGGGTCAATATATAATATAATATGTTAATTTGTTGAAAATATCTTATGAAAATTAACTTTGTGAAAACATCGTAAAACATGTCTATATAAAATATTAAAAACATCTAAAATATTATATAACATATGTAAAAATATGTAAATTATTATATAACTTGTGTAAAATATCTAAAATGCTCTATATTATTCTAAAATACGTGTGAAATTACCTAAATTTTTCTAAACTATTATTAGAAAAATATATCTAAAAATTATTAAATAGACTTATACCGGTCTAGAGGAAGTTAAAAGTGATTTATGATGTTCGATATCTTTAAATTATTAAATTTATTTTAGTACGTGATGTTGGACTCTGTTATCTTTTTATGATATCTTTTTAACTTAGGGAATTTAAATCTTATGAATCAAAATTCTTCTATTACATTTATGAAAAATGATCTTTTATTAATTCTTATATGGTCAAAATTCTTCTCTTAATATTTATAAAGCTACAATTTATAGGATATTTTAATGGAACTTTTTATATTGTTTAGTACATTGTCTTACAAAATTAATAATAATAATAATAATAATAATAATAATAATAATAATAATAATAATAATAATAATAATAAGATAAGATAAAATTGATACATATACAACTAAAAAATAAAATAAAATTAGAATATATAGAAATATTCACTAATTTTGTTGTATGATTATATTTTATATTGATTTATATTCAAAATTCAATATCATTAAATTTGTCGTGTGATATAGATTTTATATTCGAATTCAAATCTCATCAAATTTGTTGTGTAATGGCATCTTATCGATTTTTTTTTCTTTTTCAATATTAATTTGTCTGTACTAATCCCCGTTTAAAAATAAATGGCGTTTGAGTTTGTAATCTTTTTTATTTGTTAAATGACAGTTTACATGTATTTATGCATTTTCTTGTTCATCCTTATTAAAAATCCTAAAAAAGCTCTTATTTGATTCTCATTGAAAAAAACTCATGCAAAATAAATCAGAAAGGTGACATAATAATATTAATAACTTTCACGCAAGGAGAGAAATGGAAAGTATATATATAAAAAAATATTAAAATCACATATAAGAGATTTAATAATATCTTATATAAGGATAAAATAAAAATTCTCATTAAATTTGTAATTATGAATTTTTAAACTAAAACAACACATTGTCGAAAGGAGCGAGTATGATTTGTTTCATTTTTCAATATTTATTCTAACTAAATATTCATTGGGTGAGTACAAAAAGATAATATTTCGAAAATCCACATAATTTGAGATTCTTTCTAAACATTAAAAAGATTTTTGTAGTTAGATAAATATGAACAAAATCAATTAAGTTGAACATCCGAAATATGAAAATTATTTTTTGAAATTAACATTATATATTAGAAATTAAAAATTTTTAGTTGTGACTACAAAATAAGGGATTTGTAGTTAGATAAATATGAATAAATAAAAATTTAACAATTAAATTGTCATGATTTTTTGGAAGATCACAAAAAATTTCAAACGTTTTATTTGGTAAATAATTGACTGGATTTTTTTACCAAATTTACACGTTTGACCAGGAAAATTTAAGGAAATAATTGTCCGAATTTTTTTGGAATCAAGATTTTCAAGATTCTTTTTCATTGTTGATCAGATTTACGCGTAGCATTTAAAGAAATCAATTTGAAATCAAGTTTTACTGTTTTACACAATATCTTACTGAATTTTTTTATTTTTTTTTTAATTTGAATTTGAAATTGAATGCAATCGCTAGTTTTCAAAAAAAGAAAAATAAATTACTAAGAATGTTAACTTTAAAATTTATCAGCAGGAATTTTTATACTATTTCAAATAAATTCCTATCTCTTTTATATATTAATACTAGTTGGGTTACGCCGTGCACGCACGGCGGACACAAATTCAGTCTAAAAATACTTTAAAAATTTGTCATCACTTGTTGCAGGTCATATTTTGATCTAAAATATATAATTAAAATTTGTCGTCTCTTGAAATGATCAGTCTAATTTATGTATATTTTTTAAACATTGTTACTAAATTTGATACAAATAAAATTTATGTTAAATAAATTTCAACAAAATTTGAAATCTTCAGCTAAGTGCACATAAAATCTCCAATTTTCACCACAACAAACATGAGCTCTCTAAACCCGACAAAATGATTACAAAAAGGTTTTATAAAAAGTTGTATTCTTTTCAACATTGCTTGTTCACAAAATATTTTTTTACCACAAAGACCTCATTAAACAGCTTTTTGGGCAGTTGTTTTAACCCTTTACATTATTATTTCTGTTAACTTGTCATTGTTTCAAAATTCTTTCTCATATTATTACACTGAGTGTACATGTTCAACTTTTCCTTCTAAATTTACCTATCCATTTGCTTCCTCTGGTTTTCTTTTTTAATTCTGCTCTTCTCTATGTGCTTGATTAAAAAAATTTATTCTCTCTTGGTATCATTCTCATCCCTTAATAAAATGAAACAGTGATGAGGCTGACATCTCAAATTCTAAGAGGGCCCGACTAAACACTAACATTCATGCCTACATTACTGAAATGCGGCAAACTTTCTAAAATGCAAGGATTAATGTCGGCATGAACGTTAAATCTCTTTTCTGTGATAGAGAACATGAATCAATAATTTATATAAAAGAAGCAAAATCATATTTAAGATGGAATAAGAAGTACACAAAGCAAGTCATTATATAAATGAAAAATTCTACAGAGATAAACCAACGACAACATGAAGTTGTAATTGAAGAAGCAAAATCATAATTAAGATGGAATAAGAAGTACACAAAGCAAGTCATTATATAAATGAAAAATTCTACAGAGATAAACCAACGACAACATGAAGTTGTAATTGTTGACCGCCTCTCGGACGATTGGAAAATTAACTGCCATCTTACACTCTAAAATTGGCAAGTTTTTCTTCTCCAACTCTCCAAAATAGGCAAGTTTTTCTTCTCGAACTCTATATTCGCCTTATCCTTCTACTCTCCGATGGAAACATTACAATCTCCGATGGAAACATTACAATCGATGATTTGAATTTAGAAGAATATGGGTTTCTTTTTTTTGTAGGGCTAACATCTTATCTCCCGTACAATATATTCGTCTTATCCTTAAAGATCCATGGCAGTGCAGTTAGAAAATTTCCATAAAAATGAGGCACAATGAAACTACCGGTGGAACAACCCCTCTCAGAATCAAGGCTTTGGTGTGTGGAGTCTCCGCCACCAAGATATTCAAGTAATTCCTTGACAGCATTTACATATTGACCATATCTGGTTGCTCTTGAAGTAATGCACGTGCCTTTCTCAACCAAACATCATAAATCTCATTAGACATAAGAACAAAATGCACCTGAAATGCAATATTAGACAATAATTATTAATGTCGACTGGCAAATTTGTGAAAAAGAGATCACAAAATAGCATTCCTTCTCCCCAGAAAAATTTAACTCCACAGTATACATCGATATTTTTATATTTTTTTCTAATTTAAGCTTTTCACGGAAATTCAGTTATTAAAAAAATACTCACAAGAATGGCATTTTCAGTTAAAAGTATCCAACATGAAAGATAAAGAAAATCTTACTTTCATTCTCAAATTCCTTCGCTCAGAAGACATTCCATAAAATATTCTAAAAAAAAAAAATCACAAAGGTTCCAAAAATATTAGATTCAAATATAACTGATAAAAGTGGTCTAAAAGAAACTTACCTCTTCGAAGCCCCCTGCAAATTCCTTGATTATAGCTAAGGCGTGAGCTGCAACTTCATCATAAAGATAACAGACCATGAACTAAACATAATAATTCAATTTAAAATAGCACATTAACCTCATTCAAACATCAACATCAAGTAAATTAGTACTTGTGTTCCTACTTGCAGATACCATATTTTTTTATATGAACAAGCATGTCATCCAAGGAGTTACATATATGCATTAGAAGTCGGTTGTGTTAAATAGCTAGCATTGAAACTTAGCACGATAGTACAAAATATATGATTTTCTCAATAGCAAAATGCTAAAGAAAAAGGCGTAGTAAAGGATTTCAATAATTTAATTACAAAAGGAAGCTTCTGGTGAGTATAAAGAATACAATCAAAAGGATGTAGTTGATCATTAAATAAAGAGATTGTGCATTAGACACAAACTTCATTTGAATTGATAGTTATTGATTACTATTTATTTGAACAGATAAATATAAATTACTGCAAGAAATAACAACCATAAACTTGAGTAAATGATAATCAACAACATACCAATACACCCCTACATGAGATAGCAGTAAATGCAATGTACTGGATGTTGTGTTCTTTTGCCACGCGTAAACTGTTTCTGCATCATGTCCAACAAAGCAAGATGAGCTTCGACCAATAACTAAACTTAAATGGATAAACAAAAAGGGCCATAAAAAATTCGTCTACGTGTACCTGTAGGAATTTCTCTCAAAGAGGCTTAAGGGCTCTTTTCCACATTGTATATTGGCCCAACTGTATGAATCACATAAGAAGCTGGAAATCGAAAACCTCTACAAGCTTAAAAATGCCAATTTAGCTAATATTAGTAGTAAAAATAATTAACACAACCGTAAAAATACATAAACTTGAGCCCATAAGGGGTAAGTTTAGCTTCTCCTTTTGGAGAACGAACTCCGCGGCTTTACTTCTGGGACCTCGTAACGTGTTTCTCGTATCAAGACTTGCAGCTTGATCTATGGATAGAAGTAACCCCAAGAAAATAAATTCAGAGAACATATTATATTAAAATATGCTAAGAACAATTTTCAAATGGACAAAAGAAAAGGGAAACAAAAACAAAAAATGAAAAAATGACCTCCATCAGCACCACCACCTCCAAGCATCACTTTATTGGCCGGGTTGACCTGCAAAGCCACCAGTTCAGTAAAATCATAAATATTTAGCGTAATCCACAAATACTTGTTATCGTAAGGTATGATAAAAGTTATACAACGCGTAAATATATTTTGCAACTGAATCAACAAAGAGATTTTTTTTCCTGAAGAAATAGTATGGCTTTGCTATGATGTGAATGCATTTGCAATCTAAATTTTTCCTACCTCTCTTGATTTCTCCTAGTTAGTCTTCATAAAACAATAGCTAGCAATCATTTTCCATAACAAAAAAAGCCTACTTTTTCCACGACAATATGATGTAGAAATTAAACCTAACTACTTAAGCCCCAAATTTCCAACAAGAAGACATTGATCGCCCGCATTTTCTTTCCAATCCATCGTTCGAACAACAAAAACTTNAATGAGAGAGCAAGAGTAAGAATTCTACAATAGCATCGGTGGTATCGTCGATAGACCACCGAGTGATGTCCCCTTTCTGAATCTTGAGAAACGCTCGACAGAGACATCCGCGACTCCACCATCCCATGGTCGTCGGCTCCGCCGCTCGAGATCGTAGAATACTTGGAGGCTATTGTCGTCCCACCACGTTGGTCGCGGTCGATGGATGTGTGCCGGTGGGTACCGGCCGCCGTACTGCCGATTATTTGTTCGTCTAATCGAGGCATCTAGCTCGGATTTCATCATGGATAAGCCTGTCGTTTTCGCGTCTGTACGTGGGGAAGGGCCACGACGGTGCAATTCTTCCTGACGTTAGTTTGTTGAGGTTTCAAGATCTAGAGTTGGAAAGCCAAACAGATTTATTTCTTTTACCAGTGTTTCTCTCTTCAATATTATTGCTTACGGTGGGTGAATGTGGAAGCGACGAAGTACGAATTGGGATTTGTGGGTAATGAAAGGAGAATGTATGGCATTCCCTAATTTCGGGCTTTTTGGAGGAGTAGCCACGAAGGTAAGACTTGGAATTTGGGAAATGAAAGAGAATGAACGACATTCCTTAATTTTGGGCTTTTGGAAGAGCGAGACGTGAGGCAATTAAAAACACGCTCTTCAGCAGTGGCAAAACTGTAAAAAAAAAGAGACACTTGTCAACTTTTAAAGACCACAAAAATGGACATGTGTCACTCATATAGAAGGCCTAACTCCTTCATATATAGATAAGAGAGAAATATGGATGGATTTTTTATTTTTCTATCTACACCTACAGTTACAAAGATATACGTAGGAGCACCTGCGTTGATAATTTCGAAACAAATCAAATTTGCAAATATCCTCGTAAAGCATCACGACAACAAACAACCCCTTAAGTATACCAGTTGTTGGTTTTCCAATTTCCATTGGTGGGTTTATAATTTATTCATTAATTATTAACGTGTGACAATTATGCCAATCCGAGTAGTAACCTCTGTTATTAACCCATAGGAATTTTTTAAGAGAAATGCTATAAGTACATAATAGTATACATAAAGGTGTATATAACAGTCACATTAAGTGGATCCTACTAAAAATAAAAAATCAAGTAGATTTTTTAATTATGTACATGTAGCATTTTCATTTTTTAACATACTACAAGATTTTAAAATATTTATAAAAATACGAGGTGGTGTGTATTAACTGCATGGATACCTTATTGTTGTTATTTGGTGATAAAACAGAATTAGACGTTACCTAAATATCGGTTACCATGTTTAATTAAAAAACAATCTTCCTACAATCACGTTAAACTGAAAAAGAAAAGGTAAATCTATATTATCTAATAATCAGGATTTTGTTCTATCATGCTCAGCGAAAAGACGTGGAATTTTCATTCTACTGAACATACATGATCACATAAATCGAGTGTATAATTTATATATATTTTATGTATATGTGTGTCCCAATCTGTCACTGACTTGAATTATTTTACGTATATTTTATGTATATGTGGATTCAGTTTGAGAAACGATTGAAACTTGAGTGTATATCGTACGTATATTTCATGTATATGTGGGTTCGATTTGAGAAACGATTGAAACTTGAGTACATATTTTATGTATATGTGTATCCCGATCTATCACTAGTTTGAATTACGAGAATCTCAAGTGTATATGTTACGTATATTTTATGTATATGTGGGTTTGATTTGAGAAACGATTAAAACTTTAGTGTATATTTTATTTATTTGTGTGTCCCGATCTGTCATCTATCATCACCTCATTTACCTCTTCCTTTAAATTCTCCTTCGGTAGCAATTCAAGTTCAGAACAATGATATCGCCATCGAATTTATTCACCGTGTTATCTTCATGGATTGAAACAGTATTATCACGATTGAGCTCAGGGCTAGAGCTGTGGCCGGTGCTAGGGCCTGAAGTCGTCGCGACATCAATATCGACCTCGGCGGAGGACGAAAGGAGGCGGGCTGTCGCGGCAGCGGAGGAGAATCTTGAAGTCTTTGAGCAAAAGTTTTTGGGTCGGGGGAGAGAGAAAGTCTATGTTTAATTACGTTAATCAGTTAAGTATATATTTAAATTAATTATTTTTTATAAATCTGGTAATTTTGCAATTAATGTTATACATCTTGTAATTTTGCAATAAAAAATGACATGTGTTGCACATGGTGTAATTATCTCTAAGCCATAGCCAATAACAATCTTAAACCAAACTCAACAAAACAAACCCCATTTGCCTACTAACAAATAGGGGCCAAGCTCAGCATCGAAACCAGCACAAGTGCCTTGAACAATACCGAATACGGCAATCTCCCATTATCCCTCCTAAAGAAAAGTGCATCATAAACCGGAAAATTCACCAAAACTATCAGCGCACACAATCCCATCTGACCCACAAACGCCGACAACCCATCCGCGCCCGAGAACACGACCCTCTTCACCACATAATAACTCAATCCCGAAAGATTCAACAATGCAAATGCCCCAAGCATCACAAACATGAAAGACGAGCTCCCAAACTCGATTATTTCCTTGTTGAACCTCTCTCGTGCCTCGTCATCCATTACTTTATTGGTCAATTCAAAGGAAGTCTCGGATAGGCCAATCTGCTTGCACAGTGTGTCTATGAGGGCAAAAAGGTAAGACGTCGAGCGTCTGATCAGCCACATACGCTGCAGGTTCCACCAGCTTTTGAATGTGGCGCCACATAATAGCTCCTCGATTAAGCTGTAAATTGTTCTTGCACTGAAAACATACGCATATGGTGCGAACCACAAGCTAGACACCTGGC